ATAGATATTTACAAAGGGCAAATTATGTTTCCAGCTTATTAGGTACATATTTAGTAAATAATTTATATTTAATTCCCTGTTAACCCATCAATATACGGTTTTGTTTTTGTTTTCCTTGGTTATGTTATAATTTGTTTGTTATAATATTAAGGAAAATTAAATTTGATAACATATAAATGTATTTAATGATAACAAAATAAAAAGGCATGTTTCTCTACTGTAAGTCCTAGGGCATAGAGTAATATAGAGAAGGCAATGCGTATTACGCCAATATAATTTATTAGAAGACCAGAAAGGAATGCAAATACAGTGTTACTACTTAATCACTTGGAAATTATTGTAAAATGATATCAATGGACAAATTAGACGGAAAATCTAATTTATTAAACGTGTGTATTGTTTTTGATCGTTATTATAATTGTATTATTATTAAGTTATGAATGTAGTGATGGAAGGGATCAAATGTTCATTCAACAGGTGAACGGAACAAAGATATTATAATTGCATAATAGTAGGTACCCACCACGAGTCTTAAATAGTAAATTCTTCTTTAACTGTAAACGTTAGAAAGGTGATAGATATTCCATATCAAATTGTGATGCATTATTTACCATATTTCTATGTGAACTTATACACCATGACCATGATAAAAGACATCGTGCTATACACCTAATTTTAACATAGCTGTTGCTTTATCTACATCCGTGTACATTGATACTACACATCATATTATTTATTAAATTAAGTTATAAGCAAAACGGATATAATATGTCATATGTCTTTTTTTTTTTTTTTTCAAAACATTTGACGCTACAGTTTTAGTATATTTTTAATGTTTATATAAACGATGTTTTATTTTTATTTCTTTGCTCTTTAATGTGACCAGTGTATTGCTAAAGGTACCTATTAAAAATAACTTTAAACGTGAATAAAAATCATAAACATGATAAAATGTAAATTAATAATGGTTAACTAGTAGACACTAGACAGTGCACAGTAGGATGTTAGCACCTTTAATGAACTTTAATTAAAATTGTTTACTTCAACTAGCGTCTCACTGTATCTACCCAATCTTTACTTAACATTTTATAATTCTGCTACAAGAGGTAGAATTAAAATTTTATTTTGTCATATTTTTATTTCCGTTATTAGGGATAACAATATTCAACTTATAATATCTAAATATATTGATACTTGCAATGAGTGAAGGAGGTACACAGTATCAGAGCCAGAACAAAATTTCAGGATTATTCTTATTATTAGGATGATTAAATACACCTAAGAACTTAGATAACCAATAAAAAATGTACAGCGGGAACATGTCACTAGTTCATTTCCTCCTCCCATGACTATAGCACTGCAGGTTATTATAAAAAATACCATTAAATTGACAAAACCACATTTTTGTATCTAACCGTGATCATAAAAATTAACTTCTTATGAAACAAGTTTTTCAAATGCGTATTAAATTTGTTTTTTAAATAATAACATATATCCAGTACTTATTTTTATAACGTCCGTCTATAAAAGTTATATGTTATTAACATACTAATAAATAGGTGTATTGATAAATCATCAGTTTTATTATTTTAATTAAATAGGCATACATTTATAATAGTAATACAAATATAGTGATAACCTAATATGATCAATCAAAAGACACATCTTCTAAATTAAGAACTTCCATGTGAAAAGTATGTTCTGTACTTGTTTGTAAGCGTTCTATCTGTCTATAATTGTCAGGATTGATAAGTAGAATCTAAATAATTAAATACACATAATAAAATTTAGGTGAAAATGCCAAATTAATTAATATAATATAAATGTATTTGTCTAGTACCAAAGTAAAATCCCCAGAATTCCATTGAATTGAATAAATTGTTGACCCGAAAATTAATACTTTGTCCCAGAGTTGATCAAATCTTATGTTAGAATATTGAATTTTTAGTTTCATAGCCCTTTCAAGTGGTAACACAGCTCTAATTAAACGTATGGCTTCAAGAGCCTGTACAAAAAAAATACAATAAATTAGTTAGAAGTACCAGAGTATTAAGGATAATTATTATTTACTTGTTGTTGATCGTTCATGTTTGGTTTTACAGAATAATGTACATCTTTCATTGCTTTTTCTATCACGGTTATTGAGTATGGTCTTCTGGTTTCAGGGTTCACACATTGACCTGAAATTAAAACCTTATCAATTATTTAATTACCTTATAATTAAATTGTAATTATTTATTTATGTATCATTGTGTGTTATTTAAATACCAGCAACAATAGTAGCTATATCTTTCAAAGGTGCATACAATTGAGCTGATCTTACTTCATCAGAAATCTGTAACTCTCCTTTCACTAGGATATGTTTGCAAATATCAGTTAAGTTATCTGTGTTAAAAACTTTTTGCAAATCTTCTTTTTTAGCCACTTGTCCTTCGGATACATTAGTGAATACTGAATGTGTCTGTAATACCTTATCAATGTCTTTTTCACTAAAAACAAAAAAAACATTTTTAAAATAGATACTTTTTAGGTAAAGCTGTTGAAATGCATACATCCCGTTCCTCCACGAAATCACTTTATTCCGATAACACGCTATTTCAAAGCGTTTCCCGTTTATTTTCATCCGTACAACAGCTACGTTTGTGAGCCGAATTTGATTAGTTGGAGTAAATATTTTTGACATTATTGAAGGTTTATTGAATAACTAAATTTTAATTGCATAAACCATAAACTAAAAGTATAATGATCACTCAAAAATAATGTTTTTTTTATAAATATTGATAAAGATTATTGCGTAGTTCTGCTAGCAATATTCGATAAGAAAGCCCAGGGGTTTTCAAAATGCGTGAAAATTGCATTAAAATCGTTGGATAGGCAATAAATATGCAGTAATGCACGATTTGATGTCAACAAAAAGCGCAAAAAAAATATTATGCAAGTAGTAGCATAACGTCACAGTAACCAGCCGAGAAACAGTGTCTTTGTAGCCCGATTAAAAATAGACGCAAATCGATTTGAAAACATTTTATTTCACCAAACGATAGGTCGTGAAGTCTACTTTCAAACAGTGTAGTCCGCTAATGGTTTCTTCAGCCGGAACATCCCTTAAATTACGGTGATAAACGGCAGGTAGTAACGCACGGTGAAGGAGGCTAAACGGAATGGTCGATAAGAACAAATTTTATGATAATACGTTTAATACATAAAAACCGTACATATATAAAATAATATTTGATTTACATAACATGGGTAAATAAAAAAAAAATTAAATTAATTTAAATAGTTGTAAACCTAGTTATTATATTGTAAGGTGATAAATAGTAGGACTACTAGTGGAATAGATTTGCATACCATTTTTTAATTAGGTACCAACTTAAAATTTTGATTATTATCGATTTATTTAATTCCGTATGGCAATTGATTACAGAGATTTATTTCTCTGTACATTATACATATAAAATCGTATTAGACTTACATAATGTAAGTATACAATTGTCTTTACTACTGCCGACGATCGATTAATGTTTTTCAACTTTTATAAGTGTGTACTGTGCAATTACTTTGATAAAAGTATTTATTAAATATTATTATTGTGTCCTATAATTGTTTATTTCTTATAGGTTTGATAGCACTGATTCTGTGTCGGCGTCACTCGGCGACGACGCCGCTTTATTGATCATGAAAAATTATATTGCCGATATGTGGCGGCCATAGGACGTGCACGTGTGTAAAAATTTCGGTTAAACGAAATCTCTCATATTATTGCGGGGAAACAGATATTCTGACTGTATAACGTGAATTAGGTAAGTGAGGGGAAGAGAAATTGTAGGGGTGGCTTTTCGATATTTTGAATATTTTTGTCATATAATAAACTTTGTCTTGATCATAGGTAGTGTAAACATTTAAATATAATATATAAATAATTATGTGATTTGTATTTTATTAATTAAATATATATTGTAAATATTTTCAGTCAATATTAAATTGAAAGCAGCCAATGGCGACCAACTTCTTGGACACGTGTAGTATGTATTTTTATTTTCATCTTTTGTTTCAGTTTAACAAACAAGCAACATAGCAAATTACATTACTCTGAACATAAATTTTGGAGATTAGATTTAAGAAATTTAAAGAATTTAAACACAAATAACAATATTAAACTAGAAGAATACATTTGAGAGCTTTATGTTGCTTTTATTTAAAAAAAGTTAAACTCATGTTAATTTTTGTTCTAAATAGTTAATAGTTATTTTACAAAACAGTTACGTATAGCCCTCAAAAACTGTTCATCTTAATATTTTGTTATATGTATTCAAATTCTAATTTCAAACTAAACATAACAATCTACGTTCTGAATAACATAATTTAAACTGAGACAACTCATTTTAACTAGTAAATGTGTGTTTAGCGTCTTCTTAAATTACTTTTGACATAAGCTATCATCAAATAAATGAATAATAAACAAATATGACCAATAATAATTTACAAATTACTTGTTGCTTGTCAAGTAAATACCTACGTACCCCATTTCGAGATACTGTTGTAAAATTATTAATAAAATAATAAATTAAAAACAAAATTATTAAAATAGGTAACACTCATAAATAAATATATAAATACAAATTGATATATGAAAATAAAATAAACGAAAGATTGCGCTGTCTGGATTATTATGATAAGTGTATTATACGACAGTTTTCAAATTAAAAAGTCCTCATCAGGTATATCACAGTAAAAATGTAAAATGCGACTGAATATAAAAAAATGAAATGAGAAAAAATGTATAGAAATTAGTCGTTTTACATAAAATATAGAAATAATTGATTTTAATATGAAAGATTATTTAAAATTATTTATTAGACATAGATATGTTAAGAAATATAATTTGTTTGATTATTATTTACCATCTAAAATGCATTGATAAAATTTTTTTTTAAAATCAGTTTGAACATTTGAACTATTGTTAAAATTCTTTTTCTTTATTTCTAAGTCTGTATTAATATCAAAACTTCTGTCGTCTGAAAAATGTTTAGCAAAATTTCAACTAGGCACAGTGTTATTAAATTTTACCTCAGCTATATGTTCTTTATATCTTATTTTAAAATGTCTATTTGTCTTACCTATATAAAATTTATTGCAGTTACATTTAAATATATATATATATATATACCAGCATTTCCAAAAAGGTAGGATTTTTTGTGAACTTTTTCAGTTCTATTGTTTATATGTTTGATTAAATTATTATCAGTCATAAAAGCGATTTTTACATTATTTGTGTAATTGTTAGAGAAATTTTCAGAGAATTTGTTAGACATAATATTTTGATATTTTATACTACAATAATTAACAACATTATTTGGTGTGTTGTGTATTATTATTATTTTTTTAATAGTATTTAAATTGAAATTATTTCTATGGGCTATATTATAGATAATATTGAGCTCGTGTTAATAGTCATGTTTATTTAATGGAATACGTTCCGGTCAATAGAATATTGAATTAAAAAATGATATTTTTAGAGAATAAGGTTGATAAGAATCGTGTGGTGTTATAGAATCAGTTTGTGTAGGTTCTCTGTAATTACTAAAATCAAATTTATTTTTTATTATGGGAACTGTGTGATCTAAGAAATTAAATTTATTATTCATTTGTGTTTCGAGTGTAAATTGAGTGGTTTTATTTATTTTGTTTAGGTAGTCAACTAAAATTTCCGCCTGTCTACTTGAACCTCTAAATAAAATTAACGTGTCATCAGCATATCAATAATATGGTTTTATTTATGGACTATATATTTTGTTGTTAATAATATTATTGGTTTCATCATTTTGCATGTAAATTTCAAATAAAAAGCAATTAAAGGACCGCACACAATTAACCCATCTTTTTGTGAACATAAGTTATTATTATATTGGAAATAGTTTGAATTAATCATTACATTTATTGGTTTAATAATTTCATGAACATTGTTTATATTAAATTTATAACAATGTATAAGTTTATTTTTTAAAAAATGTACTGTTTCGTGTTTACGAATTGATGTATATACATTTGTAACGTCTAGAGAAATCATTTAGTAACCCGGCATAATATTTGTTTGATTTTATTTATCAATAATATCATAAGTGTTTTGTATAGAGGTATCAGTATTCATGTCTAATTTTTCTTTTATGAAAGAATCCAAATACTTAGCAAGGTTATAAGCTGGAGCAGTTTTAAAGTTAAATAATTGACGAATCAGATTATCTTGCTAAAATTCAGAACACTAATATAAATAACATAAAAAAATCGTTTCTATGACTAATAATAATTAAATCAAACGTATAAACAATAAAACTAAAAACTTTACAAAAACCCCTTTCTATTGAAAATGCTGATAGACATAAATTTAAATGTATCTGTTATAAATGTTATACTGGTAAGAAAAATAGACATTTTAAAATATAATATAAAGAACATATATCTGAGAAAAAATTTAAAATGTCTTGATATAAATACAGACTTAGAAATATCAAGTACCCAAAATTCAGTTTTAGAAGTATTACACACAAACAATGAAATAAAGAAAAATAATTTTAATAATATTTTAAATGTTCAAACCGATTTTATAGATATCTTTTACCAATACATTTTAGATAGTAAATAAAAACCAAATAATTTATATTTCTTGACATATCTATGTTTAATAATGAATTTTACATAATCTCTAATATTGTGATAAATTATTTCTGTATTCAATGTAAAACGACCAATTTGTATAAATTTTTTTTCATTTCATTTTTTATATTCATCCGCGTTTTACATTTAGACTGGGAAATACCTGATGACGACCTNCCAACTTCTTGGACACGTGTAGTATGTATTTTTATTTTCATCTTTTGTTTCAGTTTAACAAACAAGCAACATAGCAAATTACATTACTCTGAACATAAATTTTGGAGATTAGATTTAAGAAATTTAAAGAATTTAAACACAAATAACAATATTAAACTAGAAGAATACATTTGAGAGCACACAATACGTGGCAATTTAGAATACTTTAGGGTTTTAAAAAATTATGAATATTAATAATTATTTTTTTTATTGTATAATATTATTTATTATATTATTTATTTTAATATCATAATATATACATATTCTTTTGATATTTCAACATTAATATTTGCGTCATTTTTAAATTACCGCGCTTTTATAGTCACAAGTTTAGGAAACCCTTACTAAAATCTACTACAAGATTTGCTATTGTGTAGTCGCTAGTTTTGTGAAACTTACCGTATTTAACTATCTAGGTTATTATATTTATCTTTGCCCATTATAGTGACCGCTTCCAATACCAGTATCAGCTCTTTTATCTGATAATGAAAATGTTTACAGACCATTTGTTCAACGTTTGCAATATTTGAAAGTGAATCCGAAAAAAATGTCTTATCAATTTTCTGACAACTGCTATTATCCCGCTGAACGTATATACTACATCGACAACTTGAAAACCGTGGATAATAATAATATAGTTTGTTTATTTTTTAAAATTTATGTTTTTGGTGATTATCGTTGATTAAACTGATTTAATATGTGCTTATAAATGTTCTATTGTTTAAATTTATGTCAAATGTTTATTTAAATATATTGTATAATGCTTTAGGATCCATAATTGGTCGATGCCTTGATTGACTGATAGTAATTAAAAATATTAGGTAATTTTGTACCTATTTAATTACCTACCGTATAATTGTATTGTAGCTATTTGTAAAGACATCAAGAACACCGAAAAATAATAATATTTAATCTTATTTTTTTCAGTAAGATATAAATATGCACCTGCAACTATTAGTGTATTTATTATATTTTTAATTTGGTAAAAACAATTTAATATCTATTTGTTCGTTTCAGTTTTTTAAAATATGAAGAATATTGTATTGGTTTAAAAAATAAACATTCAATAATTTGTTTCAAAATGTTTTGGTAATTTAAAGAGATTTGTTATAAAACATATTTATTTAAAAAGCAAAAGATATTTATACTGTACATTTTAGCGACATTTAATTTAAATATAAGTTTTTGGAGAAAACTTCATAGTTAAATAGCAATAAATACATAACTATGTCTTCAGATTATACATTTTTAATACATAAACAATTATTTATCTAAGATTTCTTTTTAATAAATCTAATAAATTTAATTTATTTAATCAGTTTCAGCTATAAAAATTAATTGTGCTTATCAACTGTTAAAATGTTGTCATTTTAATTTAATTTTGTTAGCGCATTTATTTTTTTTTTTTATAGATATCCTTTACACCGCCTCATGGAATTCTCTAGTATTGAATATTATACTATTTTGTGTATCCTAATTGTCCCTGTTTATTATTTTTTTCAACTTTGGGCATGGCTTGGCTGGGAATTGTTCAAGAATAACTAACTATCAAAAATAAATAGTAAGAATAAATACTTCTTTAAATTTCAATTTTCGCTAAAATAAATTATACCTATAGTTGGGATTAACTATATTTTGTCTTGATAGATTTTAATTAAAATACATTTTTCTTAGTTTTCATCATTCATTTTAGTACCTGTACTATTAATTATTGTTTATGTAATCATATTTATAAACCAAATTAATATTATATTTTTCTACGATAGAAAATGTTTAAAATGTTTAATGGCTGAATTGGAATTTATTGTATTTGTTACAAATTTGGTACATACCAATGGTAGTTTAAAGTTGTTCAAATATTATTTTTATATAGGTGCTTAAGAAAATTACGTTTACATCATGTCTACAGTTTTTAATTCAAGAAATTGTATTATTTCAAATGAAGAGAAGTAATATAAATTTATTTGATTTAAAAATGTTTTTATTTTATATACTTTTTTTTATAGGGATCCTAAAAGTTTATTAAACAAAGAAAAATCAATGAATCATGTTTATTATCGATCAGATTTTGTGGATACAGAAAAGTAACGTTTAAATGATTATGTATCCTAATCCTATTTTAATTTTAAGTGCACATTTTTTCAGAAATATTCCAAATGTATTTATTATACCAGAAATTGATCAATCAGTTGATGTTTTGTATCCTTTAAGCACATTACACAGAGAAAAGTATTAAATTGAATATTAATTAAACCAAAATTTGTGTTTAATTTGTTTTTAATTTTAGAAACATACCTAATATTTTCAACGTTGACAAATTTCAAGTGAATCCTGTACAAAACTCCAATTATATAGACAAATTTTTGTAATTCACTTAAATATATTACTTATAATTGAACATTCAATATTTTAATTTTAAAATTTAATATTATTTTGTTTACAGTGATTATCCTAATTTATTTACTTTGCATAAGTCATATTCAAAATCACATAATTCCGATGACAATTTTTGGAGAAAATATGGGTAATATGGTATTATATGATAGAAAAATATATTTTAATTATTTAAAAATAGAAGTTGTTTTAGACTAGTACTCAATAAATTATCAATTATATCTAAAAAAAAAAAAACATAAAAATGAATATTTGTCGGTTTGTGTTTTATGGAGTCCTCAACCACTGAATTGATTTTGATGATATTTATATTTCTTAACGCTATACAAAGATGTTTAACATCAGAGTTTTTGTTAGTGCGTGTAACATATAATAATATTATTCTGTATCTGTGTATTATCATGTATTTTGATGTTTTATTCTATTCATGTGTGAGTTCATACTTACACATGAGTTAAATTACCAAGTATAAAGAATATCATTACGATTATGTGTACCTTAAGTTGTTTTTGAATCAGGGCTGGACTGGGTAGAACTTGGGCAACTGTCCCAGTTATAAAGGTAGCCCTTCTTGATTTTTGTTAATGACTTTATTTTTATTGATCAAATTTTGTTTATAAGCAAGTACTTATATTATTGTTTCCATTTATATCAAAACAAATATTAACTCAAGTAAACTCTGTTTCATTTTCTTCTACAGTTCATAACATTTTTTAGGCATTGGCCCACAATCCAAACAAGAACAGCAGCCTATTGTTCTAGAGAACAGTAGACTACTAGGTTAGTCCGGTCCTGTTTACAATAATACTCAATAAAGTATCAAATATAAAAATAATGAAAGTAAAAAAAATACATACATATTTGTTTTTTTATTTTATTTAGATAGATATTTGAGTTATATTATTATAATTTTTACATTTTAACATTTATGTTACCTTATTATATTTAGTTATTATTTATTACTCGCATGTTATTACTAATTTTGTTAATGTAAATAAATATTGATGTGGACTTTTGAGCTTATATTTTGTTTTATGTTTTGCATATCACATATTCAAAATAAATAATTTTAATTATATTTTGAATACTTAGTGCTTTTAGTTTATCTAGTATAAATTTAATTTTTTTGGTTTTAGTAATTATTATTTTTTTTTTCTTTTATAGTGATTATGATTATACAAATGTATTTAGTCAATCAGATATACATAATTTAGATTGTTTACAGAATTTAGAGATTAATAATAGGTAATGAATTTAAATTCCTGCTAATATATTGTTCATTATTTTATTGAAATTGTGTTTATGGTATGTTTTAGTGGCAATGTAAAACAAATAAAGAATTTTAATTTGTATGAAAATGTGCCACAAAAATCTTTAACAGAGGTAATAAAAAAAAAACAAAATATTGTAAATAGTTATTTTTAATATTTTTATATTTATAGAAAGTAAATGAATTAAATACAATTGAAAAATGTTCTATCTTAGAAAAAAACAACACAGAAAATATGAGTTCTGCTCTATGCTTTTGGTGTATAGTCACAGGAGCAAATGTTCGTGATCATAATTTAAAAACATATTTTCCTCAAAAAGAAATAAGTAGTACATGTATTATGAATGATATTAAACTTATGTTGATTAATATGTGTACTACATATTTTCTTGTGGACAAAGTAAGTAATATCATTTTATTAACAATATAAATACATACACTTTGTATTTAAGATACCAAAAATCATATATTATATATTTATGATCAACAAAATAGACAAACAGAGGAGTTCAATAATAAATATACATTTTTTTAAGGATTTCTAACTGGTTTAAAAATTAATTTTTTTATTTATTGCAAAAGTGAATTACTTAATAATAAACTACTTTCCTGGTTAAAGTAATAAGTACATAATATCATTTTAAAAATATACTGTATATATTAAATTTGTCATTAATAGTGTTTTAAAATATAAATTACCAGATCTTTCTTAAAAATATATTAATCAAATTTTAATTCATTACATTATGTATATCATATTTTTAGGATACATTTATGTACAAGCGGAATGGCAATATTTGTATAACTGGGTTAACTCCTGAAATATTTGAGTCTGCCACAGATCCAATTTTGAAATGTTCTAATTTGTACAAAACATTGTGTAATACAATCATCAAATGGAAGAAAATGTATCATGATAATATTACTAAAGTAATAATATGAATGATATAATTATTAGTAGTTAGTTCTATTTTTTTTTAATATGAATTTTTATCCCTTAGGCATTCATATTTGCTATATCTAAGATATTAGATGATTATGAACGAACTATATATGAAGTAGCAGATGAGTCTTTATTGTCACTAGTGAATCGTTTATCTCATATAACTCCTCGATTACAGTTGTTAGTAAATATCTGTTGCTTAAAAGAAGGTTGTGTTATTACTACAGATCAAAAACATTGTAGTATAAAATTATTAAACAAGATTCATGGTTATCTTTATTACTATCGATTTTCACGGGATTTATTTCTAAAAATGTTGTTGTACATTTTTGAATCTTGCTGTTTGGCTTATTTTAAGTATATAATAACACATTTTTTAATGAAATTTTGTTTTTTCTTTGATGAATACTTTTTTTTTAGCATTTTGTCAAACTGGGCATTAAAAGGTGTTTTATGTGATAAAGAAACTTGCATGTTTGTTCAATTAAATCCGGATATTGAAGATGAAGACATCATTACCCGAAGACATTGGGATCATTTTATCATTAATGAAAGTGTAGAAGTTCCAGTATTTTTGGAAAAATACAAAAGAGAGATTTTAAATTGTGGAAAAACTATTAATTTCTTTTATAAATTCAATGATTTGGTTAGCTACTTAAAAATACATTATAATTGTATTTTTTAATGTATTGTTGATATATTTTTGTTTCAAGAATGTGTTTTCTCCTGATATAACTTGTTGCTTTGATTCGGTTGATACTCGGAAGGTTTATGATCGATTTTCTAATTATTTTAAGTATGACTCCAATTTACAAACTACCAATTGTGTTAAAAAAATGTCAAATTGTTACCTGTATGAATCATTTGTTGAACGTATCCATTCAAAAGACAAAACTGGTAACTCAAAAAGATAATTTTACATTAGATATTAGATAATAATGTAAATACATACTGACTGTTAAGTTTATTACAATTTATTGATTATACCCTATAACTTGATGAAAAATAACCTTACTTTTTACTCATATTTATTAGTCAACACAGTTTATATTTGTATTCAAATATTTAAATATTTTTCATTCTCGTTTGATAATTACACCTATTATTACAAAATATGATATTATTAATATATTATGTTAATTATTTACAGACAGTAATGCTGTTCAGAAGAAAAACTTAACTAATGAAAACATAGACAGTGTTATTGAAACCAATACATTATTATATTCAAACAGTGAAAGTTATGAATTGTTTCAAATACCTAATTGGACTTTAATTGATAATGTGTATGATTTTAATAAGCCTTATGGATTTTTTCTCAATAATAATGATTCATTAACATATAATGACAAACCATTTGATATAATTAATATGATTGACTATTTACCACAATCATTATTAATACCTGCTCGTATACAAAAGAATGTTTGTGATAAACAAATATTAAACATGTTTTTTGTTCAAGAAAATTTGATGGGACGTCTATATTATTTATCCCAGTGTTTCTTTTTAATGAATTGGAAATTTTCATCTAGATTGTGTGATACATTATTTAATGGTATTATCTCTAATCGACAAAAACCAATGAATATCTTTAATCCAGTTAAGTTAAACTTTATTGTGGATGAGGCTATTCAAGATAGCTTCCCAGGCAATAAACAACACAATTTAACTTTGGAAATTACTTTTCTTCCTCATTTAAATGGAATTATTGATATTACAGTATGTAAAATCAGTAAATAATTAATGAATTAATTTTCAAATTACAAAAAAAATGGTTGTTTATTTTTTAGGATGTGGAATGTGTTGAACTAAATTACACACCCGAATGGCCAATGAATATGATATTGTCAGACAAAATATTATTGAAGTACAGACGAATATTTATGTTTGCCAACAAATTAGAATATGTTTCATGGAGTTTATTTAAAGCTAGGGAATTATTGAGTTTATTTAAAAACAATGTAGGCTTACAAATTAGAAAGGTAGTTGTATACATATTATATTGTTGTATTTTATTTGTATTTATATATATATATTAATTTAATTTAAAATAGATAAATCTCTTCAAACATTGGATGAATCAGTTTGTAACATCTATTCAACAGTATTATAAGCAAGTTGTGATTAACACATGTTGGTTGGAATTAAATGAGAACTTTGAAAACGTCCAAAATTATGATGATTTATTTGCCAGTCATAAACAGTATATGCACAAAATGTTAAAACGGTTGGTAATTATTTTTGTAAAAGGGCTTTAATTAATAATTGTATACCAACAGATAGTAGACATGTTTTATTAGTTAATTTGATTGTAAATTGGTTTTATTAAATAAGGATAATTACAGTAAATTAGGTTTTAAGGCTATAATAAAAATGTTACCATTACCAAGTGGTGATTACCATAAGTACATTTTTCATGATATTAATGATAGATGTTTATTAATTTTTAATTTTATGTTTACAGGTGTTTTATGATTGTTGGTCTGAAAGATAAACTTATTCTATTAAATAATATATATATAGAAATATTGGCATACTATCAAGCTTTAGCAAATGGCAAGTTTTATATGAAAAATTCTGAATGGGTACATTCAGAGTTCATTACAATGGAAGAGTCTTTTTCTCGATTTGTAAATTTAAGAGAAAAGTTTTACACGAGTGTTTTGAAAACTATAGAAGTTAATGGAAAACATTATCTTGTAGAACTAAATCATTTAATTACTATACTTGGACCATCATACAATTCCACATGAGAGGAACATACCATTTAAGATTATTTAATAGTTTATTTATTGTTTGATTGTTTTAAATTAAATTAATATTATTATTTATTTTTAATTATAAAGTATGCAGAATCATGGACTGGATCCGCAGCAAATTTTTAAAAATTAACAGTCTATTGTGCTGAATTCTATAAAATAATATTCTTCTTAAGACCTTAATATCACCATATTATTTATTGTTCTAGTAATTTTTGTTTTATTTTATTATACAATTACATTAATTTCTTTGATTAAATAAGAGTGTAAGATTTAAATTTGAATGATTTTAACTAAATTTTTCTCTGAAACTATTCTAATTTTTTTATTTTTAAATAAATAACCAAACCATATGTATTGATACTGAATAATATTTTACTACTTACCACAAGAAATAATACAATTTTAATGGAGTTAATTGATAGTTGATTGGATGATGAAGATAAATTAATAAATAATAATACAAATTAAGGATATTTTTTAAAATTTAAAATTTGCTTCAATCAAAAACTGCAAGAAATCTTTTTTGTTGTAATTTAGATATAGTTCCTGAGAAAGAGCCATTTTTTGATTTTCTGTATAGTTTTTCTTAATAATTGAGTAAAACTGAAAAATAATAGTTTCATTATATACATATTCATAGAGATATTTTTGTGCTATTTATAAATATCCTATACTTTCATATTTTTTATGTAGTTTTATTTGATATGTACTTAATGAATATAACTGTTTGATTGAATAGAAATGCTTGGGAATTTAACAAGAGGTTCATTATAAGTTGTACCTAGTGGTAGAAAAAAAAAAGTGAAGTGTTATTATATAATTTTTTTTTTACAATGGTTTTAAGATCAAGTTTTGATGAGAACCGTAAATATTACAGCATTTCAAATCCAATATTAATAAAGCAAAATAAATTTTAGCGGATAAGTGTAACCGATTGAACTTACAAATTACAAATTTTAAATTTTTTGCTTACAAATACCTACTTATAAATGACTAATAAAATATTGGTAAAATTTGGATTGAAAATTGTATATAATATACATTTTGATTAATACAAAATAATGGTAAAATTTGGATTAAAAATGTTGAACCTAACCTGGGGTTGAGTTGAACATATCCTTACTGTGTAGTTTACAAAATAATATACATTATAATTTGAATTACGTCAAAATAAAATAAAATTGTATAAGATGGTTTCAAGCTGTCAAAATATCATTTTCTTTTAAGGCTTTGAATAAAGTACTTATAAAGTTCATTTATTTATGCTCCATCGCCTAAGCATGTTCAAAAAAAAACTTATACGGTCTAGATCTTAAGAGTATACAAATAACACAGTGTTTGTGTAATATATGACAAAATATTTAATAATACCGTGTAAGTATAATACACAAGAGTGAAAAGTACAAGACTTGCATATGTAAATTATGGTAGAGATAGGAAAAAATAGATGGCGCAACAGGCGTCGTTGTACGGCGAAGCATTGCACATTCAGCCAAAACCTTTCACTCCGACAACCATTTAGTTTCGTCTTATATATCTGTGGTCTTATACATGGTTGCATATTCTACAACCGTGGTCCTATCCATGATAAAATAACTTTATCATGGTCCTATCTATATATTCATTATCTATGCGATATGAGTTTTTTCAAACGATAACAGTAACTAGTTTGAAAATATTTTCATAATATTTATATTTGAAGTCTATTATTTATTATATTTTACGTTTTACATTTACTTTATTAATTAATATACTTTTTATTAAGTTCCGATGTCTATGAATGCGGTTTATTTTCTGAATGGTATTTTATACTTTTCATTTTAAAATAGAAACATATTTGATTTAAACAATGGGCAACCAATTGGTGGGCATAGCTCCTTCAGAGATATTTCCTGTTGAACATTATTTAACTGATCATGCACAATTACCAAAATTACAATTCGATGCAAGGTAATGATTATTAATCTTAGTATGATAAATACGTTTTTAAACAATTTTATTTTGCAGCTTGGGAAGTACCCGATTTTTTAAGGTAGCTCGAGCCAAGTCACAAGAAGGAATGATTGTGGTTAAAGTGTTCGCCATACACGATCATACAATGCCACTTACTAAACATCGTGTGCGCGTTGAGGAAATAAAGTCAAAATTACAATCTGCTGTTAACTGTTTATGTTTTCAAAAAGTCATTGTATGGAAACTGAATCAAGTACCTTTCATTTATTTAGTTATAAATATTTATTTCTATTTTTAGACGAGTGGAAAAGCTGTTTTTTTAATGAGAGAGTATGTTAAATATAGTTTATATGATCGTATTAGTACCAGGCCTTTTTTGACAATGACCGAAAAAAAATTTATTGCTTTTCAAATATTGTTTGCTTTGCGGCAATGTCATACATTGAGTGTAAGTAAATATTTGCTTATAATAAAAGAATGTTCTGTTTTTAATTTATTTTTATTAATAGGTATGCCATGGTGATATTAAATTGGAAAATATTATGATCACATCTTGGAATTGGGTTTTACTTACAGATATTGCTTCATTCAAGCCTACATATCTGCCAGACGATAATCCTGCTGATTATTCTTTTTTTTTTGATACTTCTCGTAGAAGGTTATGTTACATAGCACCAGAACGGTAAAATTATTGTAATTCTTAAATATTTTGGAGTACAAATTTAAAATAGTTTGAATTTTTAGTTTTGTAAAAACATCTGCAGAGCTCAGTAATCAGTTGTTACCTTCTGAAGATCACATTAAAAAAGGAGAGTTGACTCCAGCTATGGATATTTTCTCTGCTGGGTAAAATTAAAAAAAAAAAAGAAATTGATAGCAAATAACTAACACTTAAATATTTAATATGAAAATATTACATAGATGTGCGTTAGCAGAAATGTTTACTGATGGTCGTCCTCCATTTGATTTATCACAGTTGTTGGCATATAGAAATGGAGAGTATGATCCGATTCCCCATATTGAGACCATTGATGATGAAGGAATTCGAGTATGCATAACACAATTAGTTATAAATGTTACACAATTTTAAACAATTTGATTCAATTGTAGGATCTTATTAAATCAATGATAAATTTAAACCCGGAAAATCGTCTTTCGGCTGAAAAATATTTGGATGAAGAGAAAAATAAAATATTTCCAGAATATTTTTATTCGTTTCTTCAACCATATTTGCAAATGTTTTCAGCTACAGATCCTATAATTTCACCAGATGAAAAAATTGAAAGGTTAGCAATTAAGTTGTATGTTTCACTACTAAAATAAAATAATTGTAGAAATCTAAATCTTAATCTAAAAAAAAAAAAAAAATAGAAAGTCTATTTACCAGATACCCTTTTTTCCGTCCAAAATATGTGTTTTTATTTGTTGAATCCAAAAGAGTGAATTTTTTTGGTGGAAACCAATATTAAAGAAATTATGGTGAAGACTGAATTTTCAAAAGAACAAAGTTCTTTTAAAGAAGTATTTTTTAGTGCTAAAGATGATGGTACAATCAGAATTTTTTTCAGAAATTAATATTTGAAAATGTAAAGCATTTTGAAAACTGTTGGTATGCCACTATATTTAATACGCAAAACAAATATTATGAGTGTGGGGATGGCTTGTTACTCTTGTCGGCTTAACTATCTACTGAAGTACACTTTTTTTTCTCCAAAATAGGAACCATAACATTGCATAGTAAGTCCCCTGCACTCACAATTGTTTGTTCTGTGAACTATCTATATTGACATACAGTTATAACTCGCATTGTTTCCGTTGTCATCTTTACTCGAACGGGGGATTTTTTTTAAAGATTTGTTTCTTATATGTATTGTATAAATAAATAAATTAAAACTAACCTAGATGTAAATAATTTGTTTCCAAGTTTTATTTAGACCATTTTTATAAAATAAAATAAAACTATAAAAAACTATTGTGAAAAAAAAATTTAAATATATTTTATCGTTATATTATTATTTAGTCTATTGAGCATAGTAATCCGGACACAATTTGATTAAATGATAGTGGCATATTAATTTAGCACATGCCGTGTAAACTTTTATTGTTTTAGGATCAAAAAAAACATTGTAAAAACAAGAAAAAAAAAACTGAGAATGAATTACTCACACAGGGTAAATTATTTTCAAACACTGATGCCGTTCACTTTATGCACTTCTACCAAGTGCACGAAAAACCAAGATAACACAAAACCAGTTACATTTTATCTATAAACACATTATTCGAGGCAATAAAAATGTATTAAGATCCAAATTCATGATAACATTAACATTCATAAAATTATAAATAAAAATAAGCTGGGTCATTATTTACCCTGAGTGACGACGGGTTAAAATTGCCATAATTTCTTTAATAATAGTTTTTAAAAAATTCAGATTGTACCAGTCTTAATTATCATTAAAAAAAATACCTAAAAAATTAAAATGTTTAAAATTCTAAGTTTTTTTTTATAATTTCTTTGGTTAATAATGATTTTCCCAAAAAGTTAAAACATTTTTACAGTAGAGCATATGTAAACATGTATTTTGGAGGAAAAAAAAGGTTTTCTGGAAAACTAGACTAAGACCAAAAAAATTATTGTTTTAGATTGAAAAGTGACATTAATGGAATAATTAATATGTTGCTCCCTTCTAACGACTCGGAAGAATGCACTGATGGTTTAGTGTTAATTGTTCAATTAGTCACTTCTTGTATAAGGTATAAGGTTTTAATTGAATGTTTACTTCCACATTTATTATTTGTTCAATTGTTACTATACCTTTTTTTCAGAGGTTTGCATTTGTCTACAACAAAGATACAAGCATTAGATGTTTTACTAGAATTATCAGTACATTGTACTGCAGAAACAGTTTTAGATAGAATTGTTCCATATATTGTAAGTGAAATTAATTTAATTAAATAGTTTCAACCAATGTATCTATCTATATATATATTAAAAAGTTGTCTTCAGGACGGGTGCAGCCACTGTTATAGGTAATTTAATGTACATTTGTAGGCAAGGTCGGATTTAGAATTTCCGATGCCCAGGGCAAATATTTTATTGAGGCCCTTAACAGTAAAAAATTAAAAATGCCCAATATCTGAGTATTTAAGGAAACAAACTTGCAAGTTTTAACTATTTACCCAAAATGTGTTTATTTTAAGTTTGAAATACTGCTGTTAGTGTATCACTAGTTTCAAAATTAATTTAAAAATAACAATATTATAATAATTTTACTAAATCTTCATAATTTTAAAAGTAAAAAGACCGACATACTTCATACATGAGTGCAGCTACTTTTATAGGTGAGAAATTGGGAAGGTAGTAGAATGGAAATTTAATGATAAATCATTGCTCACGAAAAACTGATTCTGAGCAGAGTTCAGTAGAGTGTAGTTTTATCAACAATATGTATTGTGGTAAAATAATTACATATGCATTATATAATTGTATATTTTCTTTAATAATATTTGTTTAATATTGTACCAATTTTCATGTTTTTTCTACAGTTTTTTCCATTTATGGGAAAAACTAAAAAATTATATTTTACTTAATAAAAATTAATTCTTGAAGTACCTTCCCAGTCAGATTTATTTTTAGAAAAAATGCTATCATAAGAAATCGAATCAATTTTACTGGTAGGAAAATTGTCTACAAGAAAAGGAAGGTTGTAATATTTTTAACCAATATCCACATTTCTTACATTTTCTTGTATATCCTCAGTTTTTCTATTTTTTTAAGCAAACATCTAAAAAAAAAATCAAAAAATTACTTTTTTAAAGTACCTCCTCACATCGATTTTCTTTTAGAAAAGTTGCTACACATAAAAATTGGCGCTAGTCTTCTGGTAGAAAAGTTGTCTACAGAACATCTTTGTAAAACCATATGATTTTTTGCTCCACTCAGAATCTAAAATAAGTTTTTATTTTAAGAAATTTGGTAGATAATTTATAAATGAAATTCATTTTCTATTATTAATGATTTTATATTGTTAATACACATTACAAACTGTATACATTTTACAATTTACATAACATTATGTGTATAGGATGATTTTTTTTTTATCATGAAACAGCAATTTTTAGGAGGATTTTAAGCGAATTTGATTTTTGGTTTTTTTTAATTACTGTTGAATCATTTAAACTTTATTTTAAAATTATTTTTAATTTTTTATCCCTACTCCATGTATCTTAAATAAGTGTGTACTTTTGTTTTTCAAACAGGAATCTTTAATGATTAAAAAAAAAAAAAATAGAAAACAAATTCAACGAGAATCATCCGAGAAAATTGCTGGTTCATGATACAAAGATCACTCTGTATAAAGATTATGAAGTAGATACTTAACAAAGTGTAGTTGACTTTCAAAATCTTTAATATAAATAAGTGAAACCTCAATAAATATATGATTATTTAATTCAATTAGATTAATTAGTTTTAAACTTTATTAAAGTTTCAAATGATTCAAGATATTTCTCCTGGAGTAAGAAAATCTGCATTACATGGTTTAAATAATACACTTTTAACTGTTAAAAATTTAAAGCCCAGCGATGCAAACACATTTCCAGAGTATATTTTTCCAGGTTTAATTAATGTAAGTATGTAATTTATTTATAACTTTGTTCATTTGTTAGGATTAAGTTTATAATTTTAGGTAGCACACGATGAAGCAGTTATAGTGAAAACAACTTATGCACAAATTATTTCACAATTAGCACAAACTGGTTTAAGGTTTTTAAAGTGCTGTCAAAATGTGAAGGACGATGAACCGACTACGAATGTTTTTGAAACTGAGCTTGCTACACTGCATGAAATGGTGCAACAATCAGTATCAGCTCTTCTAACAGATAGTCATAATATTGTAAAACAAACTCTAGTTAACAGTAACATAATAGAATTATGCGAGTTTTTTGGTACCCAAAGAGGTAAATTTTTAATTTAGTAAATCTGTAAAATTCATTAATCAATAGTTTCCTTTTTATGTAGCTAATGATGTGATATTATCTCACATGGTAACATTCTTGAATGATAAAACTGATAAACATTTACGTGCTTCATTTTTTGATAATTTTGTAAATGTTGCTGCTTTTGTTGGACATCAATGTTCACCTATACTATGCCCACTATTACAACAAGTAATCAAATAATCATAATATTATATAAAAAAAATGGCATGCCAATGTATATTGTGCATGTTTCATTATTATATATTTAAAATGTTTAGGGATTTACGGATAGTGAAGAATTTGTAGCCAAAAAAGCACTTAATGCAACAACAAAGCTAATTGAGAAACATTTGATTAAAAAAACTGCACTGTTTTTATTAATTAGTGATATTTCTTGTTTTCTCATACATCCAAATTTGTGGATAAGGCAGGTATGTCTGTACTGTATTATTGGTTTATTAATTATTAATATTTACTATTCTCATTGTTTTGCTCAATGCCCTTTAAACTAGCATTTTAATTTTATTTTGTTGTTATTTCAATGCAATGAGTTTTTAAATTACATTTATGTGTCTGCCATTTTGTATTTGTTTTAGGCAACTGTTGGCTGTTTTAGTGCTACAGCAAGGATATTGGATGATGTAGATGTTCAGTGTAAAATTTTGCCATTAATGAAACCTTATTTAAAGCATTCAATCATATTAGTTGATAGAGAGGAGCTGGTATTGAATACTTTAAAAGATCCTCTACCAAGAAATACTTATGATACAGTTGTAAAGTGTTCAATTGTTGAAACATTAGTTGATATATTGAGAGAACGAAAAAAAGCCAGGTCTATTGCTAACACCGGCCATATACCTTTACCGAGTATTACTCAATCAATGCATCAAAATAATGCATTAAGAAATGTAAAATATATTTTATTGCTGAATTTTCAATCAATGTTTAAATTTAATATTGAATTTCAGTTGATTAGAAAACTGGAATCTGAGGGAATGACAGAAGAAGTAGAAGATAAATTATTAGCATTATCAAAACATATTTTGAAAGTCCATAAGCAATTAGCATTTGATACTAAATATGGTACAAAAGGAAAGGTAATTTGTTTTATTTATACTATTGTTTCCAATATAACATGTTTTTTTATTAGATACATATTGGAGACACAAAACTCAATGCACACTGCCATTCTATTCCGTTGGCACGATCGCAAAATTTAAAACTTCAAGATTCTATACCTGCTGCAAATAGGCGAAAAGGTCTCGATGATCAATCTGTTGCAAATATGAATGACGAGTGGAAATGTATGTTTGGTGGTTCAGAATTGTCTTCCAAGCCAATGCATTCTTCACGAAATCCGTAATGGCCTTTTTTATCAGAAACATTAAATCTATTCTAAGTATATTTTTAATTTAGATCACCAGTAGGAGGATCATATATGTCTGATCTTCACCAGTCTCCATCTCAAAGTATTGAAGAACCTACTGATATGTCATACATACATTGTAAGTGTTATATAATTAAATACATAAAATGTTTATAGAAATTGTATGTTATTTTTTGTAGATCGTTATGCACCATGTAGATTGGAATTGCGTAAACTGATATTTCATCGTCAAGAGTGTTATGAAATGACTATGAGGCGCCATGAATGGGCTGAGCAAGAAGTTTGGAAACCAAGACTTCCGCCCCCTGGTTGGCGGCTCCGTTCTCAGTTGGTAGCTCAACTGCATGAACATAAATCGGGTGTAAACAGGTAAAATTTCAATAAGTTATTTATTTTCCCATATAACATAATGATTTTTGTCTTATTTATGTGAAATATAAAAGTATTATGATTTCAACTTAATTAAATTCATTTAGTTAAGAATTATTCATATCAAATAAATTATACTTTATAATAATTTTTAAAGATAATTTAATTTGTTTTATTATCAGATTGGTGTCAATTCCCAATACATCATTATTTGCCAGTTGTTCATCTGACAGCTATGTACGTGTATGGGACTGTATAAAAATGGAAGGCAAAAACATTGCTAATCGTTCTAAACAGGTTTACAACCATCAAGACGGAGCATTATATGGTATGACTACGTGTAAAAATAATCAATCGTTAGCTACTGTTAGTCATTCAGGTTCAGTAGTTGTTCTAAAGTGAGTAATAATTGAAATTTTACTTGGTAGTCTATTATATTTTAATTACTATCTCTCTACAATTATGTACAGTTTAGAAACGAATAGTAATAAATTGGGTATGACACAAACCAAACAATTGGATTTGAAGGAACACGGTTGTGCAGTTGATGTGTCATATTTAGATTCTGGATCCCAAATGGTACTTGTCTATGCAACTGTTTATGGTTCAATTATTGGATGGGATCTCCGTGCTCCCAAATTAGCTTGGTCTTGGAAAGTTAATAATGATATAAAACAAGGTTAATAATAATATACATTCCATTATGTCTTAAATTTTATACATTACTATAATTTTGATAGGTATTATAACGGCTATGTGTCTGGATACTAGACAGAGTTGTCTAACATTAGGTACAAGTAGTGGTTATCATACTTGTTGGGATTTGCGTTTCAGGTTACCTATCGCTACCATTGCTCATTCTAAAGGTAGTTTTTATCACCATAGACTTCACATTTTAATATCAAATTAAATTGTATAAAACAAATGATAATATTAGCTGTACGTGTGAGGAGGTTAATAAAACATCCTACTGAACCATCTTGGATTATATCAGCCATGCAAGACAACAACGAAGTGACAGTATGGAATTTGGAAAGTGGTTCGAAACAACAGACTCTATGGGCTAGCAGTGCTCCTCCACTGTCAAACAGTCAGGTATTATAATATTTTTAGCTATTGTATGAATGGTGGTTCAGAATGGTTTATAATAATTATAAACCACCATTAATAATCATTAATTAATAATTATTAATGATTATTATGGTATTTTTTATAGACTAATAATCATAGTGTTTGTGCTCTGTACACAATGAATACAGATCACGGTCCAGAGCTATTAACAGGCGGTACTGATCAAAGAGTACGCAAATGGAATTTATTATCACCGAGTGATTCCTATCTAGCCATACCAGCAGCAAGTGATATTATAGGCCATTCAGTGTATTCTTATGAGTATGTGTAGTTTTTAAAAATAATTATGCAAAATTATAATTTTGTCATTTACCATTTTTGATTAGGTGTAGACTAGTTGATGGAACAAATGTTGTGCAAGAAGTTTGCACAAAATCTAATAGTGCAGTAATGACTGGAGATGAGGAGCCCCCATGTGCTACTGAGCAACCGGCACCAGGTCACGTGGGGTCTATACTCGATATAACCTCATGTATGGCGTCCCAGTGTTTCCTTGTGACAGCATCTTGCGACGGAATAATAAAAGTATGGAAATAAAATATCAATAATGTTATACAAAAAATGAATGAATACATTTAATTCCTGTGTCCTGTTGTTCCAAATATTATATAATAATGTAATGTGATAGTGTATGTAACTGTTTGATTGGAGTTACCCATGTTAAATTGTATAATAAAGTTTTATTTTTTTAAATAGTCGTTTTTTGTGTGAGCGCAAATCAATATTAAATGTTCAATAGTTATAAATAATAATAATAATTTATGATATTTTTTATACTTAAATATTTAATTTTTTAATTTTATCCTTTGTTATTCACTCTTTATGTCTTGACATTCAGTGGTCCATTTGTTGTAACCAAGAAACTGTGCTTTGGTTGGTTTTGAATTGGATACAAGTTTAATTCCACAATCCTTTAGTATTTAGAATTCTTTTATTTTGATCCACTTCAATAATAACTTTTTAAACAAGACACCTTAAATTCAAAAGTTGTAATAATTACATTATTGCATTTAATTAAATTAATCAGATGCTATTTTAAGTGGAATTACAAACATATATATATTTTTTCTTTCTAGTATTTGACATAAGGATTACTGTGTATTTTTTTGTTTAAAACAGATTGAATTTTGGTGTTGATAACAATAAATGATTAATTCACAGTAATCCAAATTTCAAATATTTAAATTGAAGCATTGTCAACTATATTGAGTTGAATTATTGAGAATAAATAAAAATACTTCCTGATGATTGTTAAAATTAAAAACAAGGTTGGCCATAAATAGATATTTTAATTATAATTTAGATTTGTTTAGAATTTAATTGACAGATAACTTCATTGTTAAGAAAATTTATATTTTCTTCTCAATAGGGAAGTGTAATTTTATTATAAATTAAACATTAACTGTCTGACTACATAACGGTAGTGTATGTTTTAATGTTAAAGTAGGTATATATAACATATATGTTTATAATATTATACTTACTGAATTGCAGTATTTTTGAAGAATATTGCCAGTACTTGTGTGCCTGTTATAATCACATCTATACTCATTGAGGAAGGGCCGATTTCACCGATTAAAGTAATCGGTGTTAAATGTTAATCATTATTTATCAACATATTTTGAATTTCATCACACTAATCACTAAACACGATTACGGTTACCACGACTAACCTTACTAATCATCGGTCAAATATAATATCTATTTATAAGTTACCGTACCAAATTCTGAATATTTATGTATTTTTCATTATTTCGCATGTCGAATGTGATGAGAATGCTTTGAATGAAACCTCCAGATTCGAACAAACGCCTTTTTGTAAGTATAATCGTCTATTTTAAATTCCTATTAACGATTATTTTAGGCGTTCAAAGTTTTGCCGGTCTCTCAATAATAGTTGATATACTGTATATCTTTATCGAATATAAAATTATTTCATTATTAAATATATCGAACGGAGCCTAAATTGCATAATGTGTCTGACGATTTTTATATAATAATTAAATTTAAATTTGCAATACCTACTTAAAAAGAATTCATAAAATTCAATAATATAAAAGTAGGTGTATCATCGAACTACTCACTCAGTATATTTTATTCAAATTGCGAAGACGGGAACTCTGTATGAAGGAAAACTATAATAATAATTTTTGTTTTCACATATTATTATTCTAATGTAGGTATATAAATCGAACCGTTGTGTTCGGAACATAATGTAAACAAATTAGTTTATATTGTGCAAATCCATTCGGGATATTTTGAAATTCCCAGCGAATGCTCGTTATATTGGTTTTACAGCGAAGTGCAGCGGTGTTTCTATTTATATTGTTTGTGAACAAATTTTTTTTTTTTCATACCAATAATATAGAAGGTCTTTTACGTCTGTATAGGCAGGCAATTCAACCATAAACATTATGACTCAAAATGATTGTGGACATCAACAATACCTGGGTACATAATATAAATAGAAAACGATCGTATCACTTAGAAAGGGTTTGGCGGCAGTGAGTTCTGACTCATTTTAGTCGAATATTATGAACCAAGCATTTAAGAAAAGTAATAAAACTATGTACATTTTTTTCAAGAAAGATAATATTTAATTTCATAGATTTATAACAGGTAGGTACCACAGATAATAATACGAGGTCTGGGTGTTAAATAACGAGACTGCTTTTGATAAATGGTTTTATTTTAAAAATTATTCCACAACCGAATGTTCCCCTTCAATATACTCTTCTGCCAACACCACACACCGTTTCATTCGTTTCTTCCATTGCTCGAAGCAGTGCTGGAAGTCTGTTTTCGTAAGACCATTCAGGTGTTCCGTCGATTTTCGTTTCACCTCTTCCATCGACTCGAACCGGGTTCCTTTTAAGGCAGACTTGATCTTCGAAAACAAGTAAAAGTCGCAGGGTGAGTAAGGCGCGTGTTCGAGCACTGGAGTGCCTTTAGCCGCCAAATAACGCTTTAAAGACAGCGCGTTATGGGCAGGTGCGTTATTCTGGTGCAAGATCCACGACTTGTTTTTCCACAACATCGGCCGTTTCTTACGAACTCGTTCGCGCAGTGTTGCCAAAACTGTCAAATAGTAATGTTGGTTCACAGTTTGACCCTCTGGAACCCATTCAGTCATCACGATGCCGTTGATATCGAAGAAAACGACCAGCATGGCTTTGAATTTGGATTTAAACATCCTTGCTTTTTTCATTCTTGGCGTTGCAGGTGTCTTCCAATGCATGTATTGCCGCTTAGTTTCGACATCGTATTGGAATAACCATGTTTCATCGCAGGTGATGATGTTTTCCATCAATTCAGGCTCTTCTTCTAATCTCCCAAGAATGTCTGAGCAGATCTGAGATAGATCTTCCTAACTTCCGTGACTAGTCCGCCACTATTTGGGTGAATGAGTGAAGTGATGAAAGAAGATAGAAAAATAAATGAGTACCTACAATGCACATAAGAGGTAGCGCAGACGTGGTTTCGTTGGTAGACGAAATGAGAGCAAAACATTTTCAAATTTTTAATTATTTTTTTGGTTTATTACGTGGATAAAATTGTTCGACCAAACAGAAATGCTTAACAGTTTAACACATAGATTCATTATAAAGTGTAGGTGCATCGACTCATTATAAGTGTCGACCACCCTCGTCCTAAACTTCCTCTTGACCTGATCTCCCATATCGTGCTGACATATACTCACTATTCTTATATCATTCTCAATCGTGTCCAACCACCTCTATTTTGGTCTTTCTCTTTCCTCCTACGTCTATTTTCATAACAATTTTTATTACTTCTGATTCGTCTCTCCTTGGGACTATCTCGGTTTATTTTCTTTCAATTAGAAAGTGTACTGTACATAGTAGTAAAAAAAAAAAGTTCAACTCTATCTAGCATTTTTTTTTTCGTGGGGAAAACGGTAAAATAGGTACAATGTTAAACAAATATTATTAAAGAAAATACATAATGTATATGTAATTATTTTACCATAATATGACATGCATTGTTGACAATGCAACACTATCAACTGAGCTCCGCTCAGAATTGTTTTTTCGTTAGCAATGGGTAATTGTTGCGTACAGATATACATTCAATTTCCTCTCTACTACCTTCCCAATTTCTCACCTTTTTGTTTTTTGCACTGTCGTCACTTGCCATAATTACGTGAATATTTTTATGAATTATTAAATATTATTACGCAGGGACAGGGGCAGTAGTGGATTGGCCACGGGATTTAGGGTGATATATCTCCTTGGGTTGGTAGGTTACTTGTGTCAGTGTACTCAAGACTGTACCTAGGGGGAGGGGGTGTTGGACCACGAAATTAAATTCTTTGTTATATTATGTAGTGGGGAAATAATTATTTTATTCAATAAAATTAGATCACTATCATAAATTTTAATTATCAACACACCCCCTCACCAAAAAAAAAAAAAAAAAATATTTTCCGTTTACGGCATTAGATAGGTTGTTTGGGTTGGTGATTACACGAAATACACGTGTATTATCGATTAATATGGTCATAGTGTCATATTTTATTAGTGGAACAAATAGAAAAACATACTTTGCAGTCAGTTTTGGATTTACGGGTAGGGGAGGGGTCAGGGGTCTGGAACCCCCAGACACCGATATAAACTCAATAAAATATCGTCTCCAAAAAGGGGTATCTATTAATAGATATACTTTTTAAATACATATGATTTTTCAGGATCCCTCCCTGAAAAATGTTAAAAATCCGCTTCTGCAAAATTCGCAGTCTACAAGTGTGTCAAGTTCCCGGCTTTAAAATTTATTTTAAACAATTAACTATAATTCCATCATATACAATTTCGAAAGAATTCGACAACCTAGTATTTTAGTATGCTTATATGTAATAATAGAATAAATTAAATTTGTAAATAGTCCTCAGGACATATTTAAAATTCTTAAAGCATTTATTTATATTTTGGATAAAAACGAGAACTCAAGCTGTTATTAAGTGCTATATTTTGGACTAACGGGGCTATTACGATCAAGAGCACTATCGATAAATTTGAAAATTTAAATGTATAATTCGTTTATTAAACGACCTATCGGTCGGAACATGGATGCTATAAAATACAGATGAAAATTCAATAGCTGTATTCGAAAGAAAAGATTTTTTGATTCTAAGGGCAGTGAGGAATGTTTTTGTTTTACTATGTTGTGTAATTTCTTTTTCTTTCTGTTAATAACTTTCTACCAGCAATCTTGGTCTAATTAAAAAATTGCAGGAAAGCTTTAATGTTAAATTTCGGATCTATTTCGTGTAATGAGCAAGTTATTATTTTATTTTCCTTGTATTTTTCTTAATAATGAGAAAAACCCAGATAAAACGTTTTTAAAAATTAATATACAAATTTTTACGGAAATAATAGTTTTATTATTTTTTGTTGTAATTCGGTTGGAAATAAAAAAGGATCTTTCACTCGAAAATCGGAGCAAAGCTTCCGGTAGAAAAGTTATAGACAGAAAAAAATTATAAATAAAGCACGCAGTAAAACAAATAAAATCCTTGTTATGCCTGCATCTGCAGAATCTAAAACAAAAATTATGGGCTATTACTAGGCTTACAATAAAATATTGGACCACACAATTTTTGAAATTTCCGTTTTATAAACTATCGATATTTTTATAAAATCAAGTTCGATTTATGATGGCTTGTATACAAATCTACAATTCTATCTGATTTAGATGAAATTATACTCATTTTACATTTAAAATAAGATAAAGGCCTCTGTCTATTTTAGATCTTGAGTGGAGCGAAGAAACTTATGGTTTTACAAAGATATATTTTTTTTCTATTTGAGCGCAACTTTTCTATTAGAAATCTTGCTCCAATTTTTAAGTGTAGTAACTTTTCTGAAAGGAAATTGGTGCGGGAGGTATTTTAACTTTTAAAGAAGGTCATTTTTTCGATTTTCTCAGGAGTTTTTTCATCAAATGTAAAAACCCGAGAGAAAAAAAAAGTAGGAAAAACTGGTAAATGTAAGAATGTAAATTAGGTATATTGATTAAAAATATTACAGTTTTCTATTTTCCTGTGAACAACTTTTTTACCAGCAATTTTGCTCGGATTTACAATAATAGCACTTTTTCTGAATGAAAATCTGACTAGAAAGGTACTTTAAGGAGGTTATTTTTCAATTTTTCAAGGGTTTTCCTAGCAAATATGAAAAACCGGGTAAAATGTGGGAAAAAAGGGAAAATCGGTACATAAAACAAATATTATTAAAGAAAATATAAAATGTCTATTTAATTATTTTATCATAATATGACACATATATTGTTGACAAAGCATCACTATCAACTGAACTCCGGTTAGAATCGTTTTTTCGTTAGCAGTGGTTTATCGTTGCTCACAGGTATTCCTCATTATCCTAGAATAGGTTTTTTTTATTTCGTATAACTAAAGTGAGTTCTGAGTTCTCTGATCTAGTACCCATCCTAGCCGGTGTACTTTAGGGGGCTATTTTGTCTACCATTCTGTACAATATATATGCGGCGGATCAACTCGTATTTCCTTACACTTCAGTTGCCGAATTCGCCGATGACAAAGTCTTTTTATGTCTAATGACAACTCTCTTGTCACCAGCTAACAGTTATTAAGTCATCTAAACCAAATGGAAAGTAAAAATAAACACTAAAAAATCTTCACGTATAATTTTCACTCTTAGGTTATGCGTCATCCCTCTTCTTTTTCTGTCTAATAAAATTATCCCAGCGGTTTCTAGTGTCAAGTACTTAGGTTTGATACTTGCCAAAAGCTTAACCCGGTCTCTCAAACAAAAAATTCTACTTCTAAACTCAAGACGTAAAACTTAAAACTAAGTCATTATATCCTCTATTAGGAAAGCAGTCCAAGCTCAACCTAAACAAATTAATGGCTGCTCTACAAAACCCTCCTCAAGCCTATCTTAGCTTATGATGTACAATTATGGGAAGCGGCTAAAAAATCTAACATTTACAAAATGCAGACCTTCCAATTCATAGCTTTCCGAATAATAATTAATGCGCCCTTCTACGCTTTGAATCACACTCTGCACTCCAATCTTAATATACAGACTGTCGCTGAAGTGGCTATATCGTATTATAAACGTTTTCGCTGTCGCCTCGTGAACCACCCAAATCCTCTTATTCTTTTTCTAATTTTATCTAACTTATAAGCAACTCCCAATTAAAACACAAATACCAATTATTAATTAGTTAAAATTGGGAAACATAATCGGACTTCACTACACAAAGTATTCGTGCCAAGTTTAAAACATAAAGGTTCTAATTAAAAATTATAATTTAGGTGTCTACTTATAAATATTGGTGTGTAGTATTAAAACTAGACTAATCAGGAAATGTTGAGAACAATAATTATTACTTCAATAATTATAAACAACTTTCTACGGAATGATTTAATGGAATTTGCATAAGGTTTTTTGACATGTTTTTTACTATTAAATTTTTAATAAGCGTTTTGAAATCAAATTTAAATGAAAATAATAAAAAAAATTATGGCACTTCAAATTATGTATTACTGAACTGCGCTCGGAATCGTTTTTCGTCAAGCAATGGTTTATCATTGCTTACAGATAGAAATGAAATAATCTTATGTATCCTACCTTCCCAACTTTTAACCTACAACAGTGGCCGCTCCCATCCCCAGTATCAGCTCTTTCTATTTTTTTTATTGATTTTAAAATTTGCCCAAAAAAAATTTTAGCTTCACAATATCTCCCACCATAAAAAGTCCGTATTAAAATCTGACCGCATATTTTACTATATTTGATATTCATATTCTCTTAGTTCACGGTACCTATACCTACCGGGTTATTATATCGTAGGTATATTTAATTTTTGTAAACAAATTATTTAGTAATAGATACCTTATATTATTTTATCAGATGATTATAACTTTTTCAATAAAAATTAATATTTATTTCAAGTAGAACGATTAATTAAGGTTTTTAATTTTAAGGAATAGGGTGCAGTATTATTCCAGCACCCCAGCTAGTACACGCCAGCAGCGTGTGAGTTTCTATTTTATCATTATTTTTAGTCATATGATTAAGAAGTTAGAAGGGGGAAGGACTTATTATTATTGACTTTAGGAGCTTTGATGTCACGAAATATGTATCTGCATAAAGAAGTTGTATAAGAACCTTTATTGCAATTTTTAAAACCTTTAAAACGATACTTCAGTACCGCATCGCTGGTGTACACAAAACTAATTTTTTCCTCAGTTTTGTATATAGAAAACCGCCCATAAACTTGTTTTAAAAGTTCTGATTACACAATTGTATAGCGGTTTACATAAGTTACCTTTCTGTATTATTTCACCAAAATCGGTGAATAAATTACGGAGCCTATGACTGTATGACATACGGATGGACTGGCGGACAGACATGACGAAATCGTAACTCATAACTCATAAGTATATAGTTTTTGCCATTTCGTGTATAGAACTTTAAAAAAATTAGTAATAACATTGTAAGCACCTCGAAGCCGAATTTTTTATTGGATATGTTTTAAACATCTATGGTATCACTGATTATGATTTTAATAATGTGTTTGAAAAATGTATGATTTTTAATGTTTTTTTTGTCTTGCGATCTGAAAGATAACGAACGGATATTTGGAATCAGGGGATTGAAAACATCTTATTGTATAAATATTGTACAATCTTATTGTATAATATAACAATAGATAATTTCCCGGTTGTATAAAATGTCAGTCATTTATGCGCTCTGTTGGTTTCGATGAACTAATTTGAAAATTATAATTTTACGAGATTATAATTATTATCCGTAAAAAACCGATGTTACGATAGCTATTCGACACCTGAACCATGTATTGGACAACATTGCTGAAATACGCGTAGGATATATGGTTGGACGGCGGCGGCGGCGGCGGGCACTCTATTTTTTCGGCCATTCAAAAGCCGTCGCCGGGGGCGCGTGCCGAACACGCCGGCCGCCGCCGCCGCCAGATCGTCTACCGGTCCGACGACGACGCCGCCGCCGCCGCCGCGCGACAGTGAAGCACAAAGTTCCGGGCCGCGTACAAGGTGTGCACGCCGTCGTCGTCGTCGTCGTCGTTGCCGCCGGAGTCGCAGCCGCCGTCTTTGCCGTCATCGCCGTTTCCGGTTCGCCGATATTTTATATATATATATATCATATTGTGTTTCACTCCTGGTCTTTCCGCAGCCGCCGGTCGCGTTCACGCCGCGCGCGCGACACGTCGTCGCCGTCCGGTCACGCGACGTCTCTATCCGTCCAACAGGTCTCCGGCACCGCCGCCGCCGGTCGCATATCGTTCGGTTCTTCGCCTCCGCGCCCCCGAAACACCACCGCGGCCGAGACTGCCCAGAGGCCGTCCCCGATAATATTACCGCCACCGCCGCCGGTCACGTGCACACGCCGACGATGACGTGCTAATGACTGGATGTCACGCGAATCATCGTCGCCCAGAACGCTGCCGCTGCAGCCGCTGCCGCCGCCGCCGCCGCTGCCGCCTAAAGCCCGTCCGGCTAAATGGAGGACGTGTACGTCTTGCTTAAGGTGAGTAAAAAATGTAATACTGTCGTTTCCATCGTAAGTGACGATGGCCATTTTTCGATATTGGTCCGAAATATTATTTATTTTTTTTATCAAAGTCGTCTCTTTACTTGAAAAATATTTAATGAATTAAATATACAAATTATTATTAATTGTTAATTAATATTAATTAATTATTAGTAATTAAATATATAAAATTTTTAATGTATCGAAAGTAATTCAATTTTTCTTTCTTTAATTTTAGATAGGACCTTGGTATTTTTTTGTCGGGCACCCGCGTTTTTTCCGAAACCGGTCGATTTATAATACCTCTGAGATTCGTGGTTTGTCTCCAGTGTTAAAATAAAGAATAATATTAATCGTGAATTAGGTATATCGCGTAGAACTTACAATAAATCGCATTGTGTAATTACAACGAAGGGGCGGCCGAACGGGAAGTGGATTTGAGGATATATCCCCTTCCTCTCAATGACCGTTTCCTTTTTAATATTTATAGTGATTTATATAATATATAAATATGTAATTGCCATACACTTTTACTATGTGACTTTTTTCCGTTTGCATTACCTACGTCTATAATATCACGTTACTGTTATTTTCTTATCTTCTTTTACGTATATTGTCAACTTGACATATATAGTTAACTGATGTGTTATTATTATAATACCATTGTTATCTTATAATTTTATTAAATTTTATTATACATTAAACATATGTTTGAAAATAGAATAAAAATATAAATAAAAAAAAAAGGTAAGATGATGGGGACGGGTGCAGCCACTGGTGTAAGTGGGAAGTTGGGAAGGTAGGATACAGACGGGAATTTAATGTATAGCTATATCCAATGATAAACCATATTTGCGTATGAATAAACAATTCTGAGCGGAGTTCAGTTGATAGTGATGTTTTGTCAACAATATATAATATATCATTTTATAAAAAAATAATTAGTAGGCTTTCTATGTTTTTGAAAACTTTTGAGAAATCGAATAATGATTTTCTTAAAGTATCTTTCCAGTTAAATTTTCTTTTAAAATAAGTACTATCATTGTAAATTGGAGACAAATTGCTTGTAGAAAAGTTGTTCGTAGGGGAAAAAAAAGGCTGTAATATTTTTTAACTAATACCTACATTTCGTATATTTTTCATTTTTCCCAGATATTGTAAAAACCACTCAAAAAATCAAAAAATGACCTCTCTAAAGTACTATGTAGATAAAATTTCATTTCAGAAATTAAGCTACACTTGAAACAGTGGAGCAAGATTTCTGATAAGAAAGTTTGCCCAACAAATCGAAGGGCAGTTTGTGATTAAAATAGTCCGAGCGAGCGATGACTTGGGTCTCTAGGTATCTAGGTACACTTAAAATTCATTTTTTTTCTTTGTTTAAGTAAAAGGGGGAAAAAAAAAGTAAACAATTTGTTTTGAAACTCGGGTTTAAATTTGTGATCCTTAAGATGGCAATAGGTATGTAATTATTACCATTAGACTATGACAAACACATAATAATTTGACAATAAATAGTTATTTAACATAAAATATAATATCCGCATAATATCAGAACTTCAAAAAGCTATAATTTTGAAACTTTGTCAATCCACATAATTCTTACTTCACCGTCGTTCTAAAATCGGCAATATATATACGTTCAAAATAAAAAATTGAAAAATTAGATTTGTTCTACATAACTTTTTACTCGAAAGATTTTATCAAAATTTAATATTAAAATCCCTTTATAAAAAAAAAAAAAAATACTAAATTAAATTCAATTTTTTTTTACCACAAAGTAAGACTTCATGAATTTCTAGTTAAATTTTTAACGAATTCGGTTTTGTCTAACAGTTTTATTACACAGTATCTACCGAATAATAAAAATAACGTTTTAAACTTGCAAAATTAAAATGTCTATAAATAGCTCAAAAATAGCTTGAATTTTTTTAAAATTTTACCACATCTAGAAAAGGTAAATATAATTTATTTTGTCCAAATTTAAAGTCTATGAATATTTTTAAATGAATTTCAATAAATAATAAAATTGAACAAATAATAAAAGCATTATTTCGTAAATTTCCTGTTTTTCTTACCTTTTTTCCTACTTTTTCTCTTTTATTGGGAAAACGGCCGGGAAAATCAAAAACTGACTTCCCTAAAGTACCACCCCAAGAAATCTTCTTTTTAAGAGAGGGTCTATATTGTATACATTTTTCTAATTCTAATTCATTTCTAATTTCGGCATACAATTTTCTTTTGCTTTGCCTCCATAGCGCAAGAGACTTGATATTTTATATATCATTATATTTTCACCCACACACACATACACACATACATACCAAAAATTAACCGCGTCTGAGGTATTTACCAGCATGCGACCGTTTAAAACAACAGGTCTCGCGTTACTTTCGGCTATTAACGCGAAGAGATTAAATTCCTTTATAGGTGCTTGCAAGTATTATGAGTTCATTTCTTACATTTTAATGTCCGCGGTTTTAAATTCCCGCGGTATGCTCCGGGTAGTGTAGTATGTAGTGATGTGCTCAGGAAGTAACAATGTGGGGAGGGAAAGCTGATCAATTTGTTTAATATAAATCTGAAGAGTAGTTGTGTCTTTGTTATATCCCAAATAATATATGAATATTAAATATATAAACACAATAGGTAACAACTCTATTAGAGGGAGCTCCAATATGTAAAGGAATATGAAATTGATAATTAAAATGGAATAATAATTGTTCGTGTTTTTGATGTGGAAAATAATAAATGTAATTGATAGAGCCTCTTCACACGTAGCCACTTAACAGAGCTTCTTGGCAGTACTGTAGATCGAAAAATACAAGGATAAATGCAAGGTTTCAAACACGACCACAGACACAGATTGGAAGCGCTGTAAACGGTGACAGCAGTTTCTTTCGCTGCAGAACGCGGCGTCTAAAAGAAGCGCTGCTGCTACGTGTGAAGGGGCTCTTAATCAAACATGGTAAATTAGGGGTGGGAGAGTGCATGACCCTCCTCTTGTGAGGAGTGTAAGGTCTATGGCATACAATTTTAGGGTGGGGCGAGAAGTTGGGTGAATTGGGAGAGAATACGATTCTGAGCGAAGTTCAACTTTATTTTTTCACCATTAAGTAAAATTAACATTGAACCTCGTGTAAAATTTTCAAGCATTTTTGCTTAGCCAAAGTATTTTTATCCATATAAACCCAAATAAATCTTAAAATCTCAAAAATATAAAATGTCTAATTATTTCTAACCAAAAATCGAAAATAATGAACCAATAAATAATACATTTTTTCGTTTATCCTTCGTTTTTATTTTATATTTTGCCTAATTATTAGATAACTACAAGGAAAATCAAAAAATGAACTTCCCCATACAAGGGCACATCATAGTAAAATAAATATATATTTTATGGCGTTCAGAATCTAAAATTTAAAATTGTTATATTCATTTAGTAATACGTATTATGTTGTAATATTTGTACATTATTATTCCGTTAAAAGATTGAATAAAAAAAAAACCTATACGTATAGCATAATAGTACCATACTAATTTATCGTATATGAAAATTGAAAAGTAAATTCGTTTGAGATCATTAAAATATGGGGATCGTGTTTTTTATATTTTACATGGATTTACAATTGCATTATATAATACGATAAAATATTATAATAATATGTAGCTACCTATGAGTCCATGAACGTAAAATTTCGGCATATATGAATTATCAATTAATGGCATCAGTGTCAGTTATAACCGCATTATACAAAACCAAAGTTGAATGATTTCTGAAATCGTGCAGCAGGGTCAACAAATTTGTCCATGTCCGTGGTTAAATGGTTTATAAAACAACACAATGACTCCAACAATATACCTTGATTAGACTTAGTGCAATGTGTTTATAATGTTTATGTAGGGAAAATGAGGGCAGACTCAAATGGCCTAAAGACGTTTGAAACTCCCCGAAATTTAAAAATTTCTATTAATCAAAATAATTTTAGTTCACGTTGTCTTAAATTTTTAATAACATTCGTTAAAATAATGATTTTTTTTTTGAATCTATTAGATATATTTTAGTTTCTTCTTCAAAACGTTTCTGAATATTTAACCGATGATGGGAGGGTACCCCTTATGTATATCATTCACTACTATATTTCTTAATATGATATGTATGCGATTGCTGCTTTTACCATGTTTTACACAATTCGCACAATGTTTTTCAGGCCGCTGCACTCCTAGAGCCCCACGGCTATCGTTGTCACTGTTGTAATAATATATTGTTTTATCGTTGAATTAATCAAGCCCACACTATAGGTACTTACGTACCATAGCTATTTGTTTCGTCTATATATCATATTATTATTATTATGTTCAGTATAGGTATCTCATATATTATTATGTTTAAACCGTTTTGCCAATACCAATATAATAATATTTGGACATGTTGAATTTGATTGGGTGCGTTCAAATATATAATTATATTAATTATCGGTTATATTTCATTTTGGACCCGAATAAACTACCTATTTATACATATAATACCGACCAGTTTAAACCATACCTAATACGTAGAGTGTACCCTATATTTTTCCTCGTGTATTTATATATTCACCTAACGTATATTAACAGTGAGAGATTTTTGCTTCCCCTAAATTAGTAAGTTAATAATTATTAGAGTACAAGTTATTGTTGTAAAACCGGAAATATTCATAAAATACTGATGTTGGCTTTTTCTAGAAGTGGTAAAATGTTAAAAAAATTGTTGAGCTATTTATAAGCTTTTGATATTTTCGAGATAAATCTTTGAACATTTTACTCGAGATTCATCATACGTTGTTATCAATAAAAAAAATAAAGAAATGTACCTAGTAGTTTTAGATTTTGAGTGGTTTTACAAAGATGTTTATTTTTTTTTTATCTGGGCGCAACTTTTCTACCAAAAAACTTGTTCAGATTTCTAAGTGTAGTAACTTTTCTGAAAGGAAATAGGTGTGGGGAGGTACTCTAAGAAGGCCATTTTTTTAATTTTTCAAGTTTTCTTAGCAAATGTGAAAAACTGGGAAAAACTGAACTCAACTCCGAATCGTTGTTTCTTAAGCTATGGTTTATTGTTGTTTACAGGTATGCATTAAATTATCTGTAACAATGGTTTCACCCGTCGTTTTTTTTTATATGCACTTTAAATTAATATTTTGACGAAAATTATAAAAATAACGCATAATATCGAGTATTATATTTCGATTTATTTGAATATAATTGTTTGGTAAATTCTAAATGTTCAACAATTTAACACGAAGATTATCATAAGTTGTCTTTGATCATAAAAAATTTTAGCATTTTTACACCATTTTTAAATTCAAATGTTAACGAAAACGCAAAAATCACAGCATTTCAAAACATATTTAATGGAAGTTTACTTAGAATCGTATTTCATTATCAGTGATGTTTATCGTTGTTAACAGATATAAATTAAATAATTGTATGTATTCTATCTTCTCAACTGCCCATCTACACCAGTGGTTTACTTATCAACAGTATAAGCTCTTTCTTATGTTTCTTATGGTGTATGCTGGGGGTATGGGTAACTATGGGAACTCCCCCCAATGATTCTTTTTTTTTATATCATGTAACACAATAATAAAAATAAAAATGTGAATTCAAGCATTTGACATTTGCCCCTGCCCCCTGTTAAATTTCTAGAGATTCCAATGTGTTAGAAAATCTCCAAATAAATAACAAACTTTGTATTTAAATACATAAAAAATGAAAAAAAAAGTTGTATTTATGTAACTCATAATACTATATTGTAAAAAAAATTGAAATATATAATATTGGTATACTTTGAAACAATATATCTAATAACTTTTATAAAACGTTCAAAGGATTAAAAATATGTGATCTCTATGATATTTATTTTTCTAGAGCAATATATTATTGTGGGGAACGAAACATATATTATAAATTATTATAGAATTGTAATATTAATTAGTTAGTCAAACACTTGTATTTAAGAAAATATATACATTTCAAAAAGCTCGAGCAAAGTTTCTCACGCGATGTTTAATGCAATTATAAACAATAATATACTGCAGTTATAATACTTGCAGCTATAACCCCAATTCTCCGGATAACATAATTTTACGGAAGTACCGATGTGTATGTACTGTAATCGTATATCCTATATATAACGATTTACACAATATAATATTATAATAGTATTACCTTTATTATTATTAACGAATTAAATTTTGTAGGTATACAGAATATTATATTGAGCCTTGTAGCTCAGAGTGCGTGGTGTATGACGTTTTTAAATATAGCCTAGTGATGATTAGAGCAATTGTGATTTTAAATTCAGTCCTATTCGAATAAAACGTTATTATACAATAATTTGGATTTATTTATCCATTGTAAATATTAGAATTATGTAATAAAACACGTCAATCTCTATATGGATCTAAAAGTTAATTTTTTTTGACACTCGATATTTATTTTGTATGAATGATATTGATTTATCAGAAATTTTTAACTTAAAACTTTAAACTATGTACGAATCGAACGAAACCGATAGTAAAATAACCAAAATTTGACTTTTGTACAATCATATTTTAACTCATGTAGCTTAACTTAACTTGAATGTTTTGATTTGATCCAAAATTATTGTTTAAACATTTATAGATTTTAATTTTGTTTCGTTATTATCCAAATATCTAATTATATTACTTGATGACCGTATAAACCATCAAAATCATAACCGTGGCAAAATAAAATGGAATCTTAGTACCTAGGTTTACCATACCTATATTTTCGTATTTATTATAATAAAAGTTTATGCTGCGATGGGTATATTATGCTGATGGTATATCATGATATATTATTGTTTTAGGAAGGAAATTAGAAGAGAGGATTTTTAGAGTAATTTAATTTATATCTGTACGCAACAATAAATCTTTTACTCACCAAAAACGATTTTGAGTAGAGTATAATCGGTCGTATTGTTTTTCTTATTGACAAGATAACTCAGAAATAATAATTAGGTATAAAAAATAGTTTTATCCATTTGTTTAGAAAACTATAAGGGAATAAAAAATATCTTCCAATTCGCCAATTCGCCAATTTGCCAAAAATACAACAATAAAATTACCCTATAGTTTTTGATTAGAACAAGATTGTTAGTAGAAAAGTTGTTTATAGAAAAAAACATCGATGGAAAGCTGTGATTAAAAATTTTCCGAATCCAAGTACCAAATTTGTTGATTTCCAAAAATGTTTTTACTATTTCATTATATTAACCTTTGATAAATTATACATTTTACGATAATATTTTAGGTAAAAATAATTACGTACCTAATAAAATACCAGACAAACAAAATCCTAGAGAATCATTAGTTTTATTAACATTAAAATTAAACTATCGTTGAATTACCGGTTCAGTCTGAATTTCTATGTTGGGGGTGGTATCTCTCCCGTATCCCGGTCCCGCACACCGGTTTTGAGACAGCGCAATAAGGGAAAATATGAACGACGACGATGACGGTAATAATCATAACTGTATATCTGCGTGAAAACAAATAAAATGTTACGACATGTTAATGACCAGCAGCTACCGTGTAAATGTCGGAACTTTGGGTTTTTAAAATATACACCGATGTTCTCTGGGAAATTTCTACCTAGAAATATATGGTTTACCTATGATATCGTAGTTATACAGGGTGATTTTTTTTATCTTGAACCAGCAATTATCTCAAAGGATTTTAAGTGAATTTGATTTCGGCTTTTTCTAATCATTATGGAATCGTTTAAGATTTATTTTAAAACCATTTTTAATTTTTTACCCCTACTCCATGTATCTTAAATAAGTGCATACTTTTTATTTTCCAATAGAAAACTCCCCTTTTTTCCCTTTTTTTGAACACTGATTTTAATATAGAATATTTTTAAAGAAATCTTGATATGTATTACACTAATATCAGATTTACCGTTTATGAGTTATAACAGTTTAAAGTTTAGACCGGAGGTGTAGTGAAGGGTAATAAATTGTCTTTTTATGTATTATCTATTCAAATCGGTGTTCAAAAGGGGGGGGGGGTTCCTATTAGAAAATCAAAAGTATACACTTATTTAATATATATGAAGTAGGGGTAACAAATTAAAAATGATTTTAAAATAAAACTTAAACGATTCCATAATGATTAGAAAAAACCGAAATCAAATTCACTTAAAATCCTCTTAGATAATTGTTGGTTCATGATAAAATAAACCACCCTGTATTGGCCGTGAAGCAGAAGGAGGAGGAAACGTCTGCCTTTATTACTATTATACTTTATTGTTTGGTTTTTTTTTGGTTTGTTTATTTCATGGCATAGTTATTACTGAAAGAGCCACTTTCTTGACGGATGTTATTGCACGAGTTCGTCTTGTTGTGGAATTTTTTTTCGAGTTTTACGCGGTAGTCGAAATATTATTATCTCATATACTTGCTGCCAAGTCGTACATGCTGCTATTACCCACCTGTAGCACTATTAAAATGCAGACTAAAATGACCGTTCGTTACCGCGACCATGGTGAAACAAAAAAAAATAAAAAAACGAAACGTTAGCATTATTTTCGATCCGTGCGCGTGACAATTTCAAATGGAAGTTTACGTCCGTGAAACATTTGGTTTTGTTATTTAGGTATAAATGCAAAAAAAAGTTTCTATTTTATTAGTTTGCAAATTATATTTCGTATCGAATTTACTGACGTGGAATTGCGGACATGCATTTTATTTGTTAAGTTATTTTGTAACAGAATATAGTGGAATGACAAAAAAAATGTTTTTGACCCGTAAGAAATATTCCTTATCCCCCTTTACCATCGTATGGTGCGTAATGAGACATTTATTAACATATTTCGATGATATTATAATATGTTATATTCTTCCATATGCATATTATAGTCGGTACATTACGGTTACCTAAAATGGCTAAATGACTTAAGTAATACGTTGTTACGGGATACGTAGCCATTACTTAGCAGATCCTTAGATTGCATAGTTGAAATTTAAGTATACCGTCGTTACGTATTACTTAAGTTACACATTTTTAAAATTAGTTTTTTTTTCCACGCTTACCAATTTTATTGATCATTTTTAGTAGCGTTATCAATTATTTCATGCCGGTATCGGCAGTTTACAATTATCGCTTACAATTCAAAATTATACAGTCCGTTCGTCCAAAAAAATAATCTAAAAATAAACAATTATAATTTCTCGCTCTGAGGAATATATTGGTTTTACAATGATGTTTATTTTTAAATTTATTTTTCTCCGAACGACTTTTCTTCCAGACAT